GTTTTGTAGTTAAGAAGAAAAGAAATGAATACTTTTTTGTTTGATTTACCTAATATTGTTTTCACATTCTGTATTTTTCTTACACGTTCATATTCGCAAAATATTCAAAGATATTTACGAATGCGAATATCATAAATCAAACGAATATTCGCGAATGCGAATGCGAATGCGGATATTCGTTACATCACTAATACCTACAGAAAAATCTCTCTCTGGTCGAGTAACTCCAGTACCACATGTAATTGTTGCAGACGCAGCGTTTCCTTTAAAAAATTATATTATGAAGCCCTACCCTTTCCGAGGATTAACAGAATGTCAAACTGTATTCAATTCAATAGATTAAGTCGAGCTAGACGAGTGGTAGAAAACGCCTTTGGTATACTTAGTAACCGGTTCAGAACTTTGTTACGAACAATAAATTTAAGTGCAGATAAAGTAAAAGATATAACCTTAGCTTGTTGTGCATTATATAACTTTCTTCTTGAGGAGTCTCAAACCTATGCAGGTAGTATTGAACAAATTTTCCCAAAGGTAAGGGCTTGAAATCTAGGAAATCAAAGTGGTAACAGATCGTCAAATCGAGCTATTGCGATAAGGGAAGAATTTAAAAAATATTTTACAGGAGTTGGGGCTGTCCCTTGGCAGCAGAATATATAGAATGTATATTTTTAAGAAGTTAGTTACCTAAATAAAATGTGTTATGAACTTTCTACTTTATATTTCAATAAACACTTCAAAAAACAGATTTTCAGTCTTATATTTTATTCCTCTAATTTTATATATACACAGTGTATTTAAATGAAGGACCACCAATGATACCAGATATACTTGGGGTAAAAATAGAATCATTGAACTAAAATTACCGTAGTCCAAAGTTGCCGATAACTGGTATAGTTTAGACTTGGCAATGTATGCGTGCAGCGAAACGTGGCAATGTGGCGTGACGCCGCGCGAGTGTCTCGACCACCAAGTGCGGTCGCTTGGGGGGAAGCGAGGTGGAGACTGGAAAAACACAAAACAAGGCAGTGTGCTAATAGCAGTGTTGCTAATTGGCGGATAAAAGTCCGATTTTCGGACTTTTTTTATACGGCTGATCTTTTTCGGATCCTAAAATATTTCGAATCTTTTCGGATATTTCGGTGACTTCATTTCAACAAAAAGAAAACCAACCGAATCCAACCAAACCAATGCACAACCGGCCCAACCAAATAAAAAAAAAGAAATGGTGAAGTGAGTTGGCGTGCACGGTTTGATTTAATAGACCGTGGTTGCCGGGTACGAATTTCATTGTGTTGGTTATACTAGTTTACTGTTTACACCACAGACCTTCGTTCGTTAATGAGCGTATTGTACTTCTGTGGTTTAGAGCTGGTGTTAACCTCATCGTCCTTTATTTTTAATTATTATTAGATGAATAGATAGTAGAATAATGGTGATATATTGTGTTGTCCTCTACCTAATCTATGGTGTTGTCTGTTATGATTTAAAAATGGATTTGTGGCTTGCGACTTCCAAGGTAATACAATACAATAATAATAAAACAGCCGGATTGTACGGCGTTAACGATATGTTGGCGCGAAATATAAAGAGCATAAAATGTTTATTATATTCACAAATCAATACAAAACCCATCACATTTTTAATGTTAATTTTATTTATAGTCTAAACTGCCTTTGATGTAACCAGCTGATGAACAACCTGGCTGCAGTAAAACCTTAGCAAATGGAAATTTTATCCCTGATATCACTGTGAGTGTCATCAAATTCAAATATGTATATTGGAAAATCGTGTCAGTCAATAAATTCCTTCGAGAACTTGTTACCTACTTATTATATAACACTGACAATTTAGACGCTACGTATTTATGCAAATGTATTATACGATTGTTGTATCTGCTTTAGGTTAGAGTCTCTACAGATAAAATACTTAAGGCTCATGGTCAGCCATCGAAATATAAGAAGAAAAAGTTAACGAAATTTGTCTCTTCATAGTTAAATATGCCCAAATTTAGTGGTTGGCTGGCAAAATCAGAAAAAAGAGACGATGCAAATAATGAATGTTTTTTGCAAAGTATGCAATAGTGAAATTATTGCACACAAAAGTATTTTGCTAAAACATCAAGCAACGGAAAAACATAAGACTAACTGGCAAAAAGTGTCTACCAGCACAAAAATAACAGATTATGGCATAGAAACACGATGAAAAGGCTGTGAAGAATGCGGAATTAAAATTATGTGCTCTGTTAGCTAGTTATAACCTACCATTTTTATTGATGGATACACTGCCTTCTCTCTTGAAAAACATTTTTCCCGATTCGAAAATAGCTCAAAAGTTAAATATTAAAAGATTCAAATCTACCAATATTATGTGTGAAAGTCTGGGTAAATCTTTTTTAGATAATTTGTATGATGCATTAAGGAAGCCAGGTGTTTTTTTCTCAATTATATTAGACGAAACAACTGATATATCTATTAAAAAACAGTGTGCGTTCTCTGTAATATACTTTGACACAGATCGAAATGTAATAAAGAATTCCTTTTTTGATCTAGTTGAAACCAAAGGCTCTACAGCAGTTGAATTATATGATGCACTAAAAGATAATTTAATTTCTAAAGCTATTCCCTTGACCAATTTAGTAGGGTTTTCTTCTGATACCATGAATGTTATGGTGGGGGGAACATAATTCACTCTTTTCAAATTTAAAAAAAGATTTTCCCCATATAGTCTGTGTAAAGTGCTCTTGCCACATGGCACATTTAGCAGCATCAAAAGCATGCCTAAAGCTTCCTAAACATGTAGAAGATTTACTCCGAAATATTGGGAGCCATTTTAACATAAGCTCTTTACGCAGGAAAAAATTTGAAGAATTTCAAATATTTTTCCATGTTAAAATTCATAAAATTTTATCCCCCTCCATAACAAGGTGGCTTTCAATAAAATCATGTGTGGATAGGGTGCTTGAACAATATCAACCACTAATTGCATATATCTAAATAAACACAAAGCAAATAACAGCAAGTACTTGAAAGAAATTTTAGCAGCACCTTTTCATATTAATAACTATGACTGTATGAAAACTTGGTTCCATCATGTATTTGTTTTACTTTTAAGTAAATATATGACGACGCAGTTTAACCTAAATTTTAAACAGTTGGTAGATGTGTGTCACTAGTATTTCTATAGAACTGCCTGAGAATAAAAAAAATACGATTTGACGTTAGATTTTATAAGCGATGTTAATACACCTAAATACAAAAATTTATAATTTTTATATAGATTTTTATGAAGTATATCAAAACGTTCTGGTTGATTTGAAAACCCATAATTAGGAACAACTTGCTGATCCTATATTTACCTTTGTGGTCAGGACTAATGAGCACAGCCTCTAATGAGGGATATGAAGAGGGGGCACATTCAACCACTCATTATAATTTATCTATTATTTGAATTTGGCGCTCGTAAAAATTCTGTCACACTTGTACTAACGGTCGCTTAGCATTAGTGTTTTGTGGGTGTTGTAAGTGGTATAGTTTTCACGTGAAAAAAATAATTTTCATATTTTGTGTCTAGGGTAAATATTTCTGATTAGAGTTTTTATTTTTTCTGGTTATAATTTTCATGTTTCCTATGTGTTATATTTAACATTTATACTGAAATACCTTTCTAAAGTAAAGTTAAGTTATGGTTTTACTTGAAAGGAAACAATACTAATAACAAGACATAATATTTTGCTGTGAGCGGCATGGGGCACATTCAACCAGTTACATGTGGTTGATTGTGCCCCACAATGATTAATCGACCGTATTGATACTAAAGTAATTAAATACTCTTTCCAGATGGTGAGAAATTATAAATGTAAAACCGATAGGGCGAACATTAATGAACATAACATGAAAAATGCCATTAGAGAAGTTCTATGTAGGAGATTGCCAGAAAGAGAAGCCGCAAGGAATTTTAATTTAAAAAGGGGTACCTTACACTCAAAAATTGATAAAATCAAATAAACGTAGTAGACCGGACAAACGATAGCAATTCATCGACGGAAGAAGTATGGGGTAGAACAACATGAAAGCAGAATAAAAACTTTACATATTTTAAGATGTCTAATCTACAAAAATTGCAAAATGAATTTTCTCGGGTCGATAGCGAAATAATTTCAGTCGCAAGTAATAAAAGTGATATTAATTCAGCCTTTGTGGACAACGATCGAAGAACACAACACTACTGAAAATCAAAATTCTTTAATTGAACGTTTTCCAAACGGTCTAGTAAAAGATTTCAGATACTACATAAATATTGACAGAAATTATCTTGTCTGCTATTTTCCTAACAATGAATACATTATTAGGAAAATATCAGACAAGATAATTTCTATAATAATATTCGAAAGACTTTCATTCAATTTCGGGACACCCAATGACCTACATAACTCCAATAGCAGTTCAGCTTTGCCTAGAGGTAATAAACAAAATACATAACAGACATGGAAAATCCGTTTTATTAAAAGTTGCAAATATTTCTTCTGTCATTAATGGTAAAGAATATAACAAATATTGTACAGTAGGACCCCGATTATCCGAGTTCGCTTTAACCGAGGTCGCGATTAACCGAGCTTGCTTGTTACTATGTAAACAACTTGCTTAGCAACAGTGTGTGCGCGCCGCGCCTCCCGCGCACGTCTCACTCACCTCTCTTCAGTCGAGTCGTTGCGCGCGTAGCGTTCGGACGTGTGAAATCGCACATTTTTGATACCCAACTCACGACGACGACAACTTCGTACAATGTCGACGCCAAAACGCAAAAGAGTCGTTATTTCTCTTCAAAAAAAGTTGGAGGCACTAGAGAGAATACGTAAAGGTGAATCATTGAAGAAATTAGCATCTGAATTAGGAGTTGGAGAAAACACAGTTGGTGATTGGAAGCGAAACCGCAATAAACTAGAGCAGTGAAAGGAGAAAACATCATCAACCGGGACATCATCGCTAATTGAACGAAAATCCATGAAATCAAGTGACTATGAAAAATTGGGAGATGCATTATTTTTATGGTTTACACAACAGCGTGATAAGGGAGCTCCCATCTCTGGACCAATTCTACAAGCGAAAGCATTATCACTGCGCACTCTTTTCCCGGAGGAAACGAAACAATTCACAGCAAGCCAAGGCTGGCTCGATAGATGGAAAAAGAGGCATGATATACGTCAGCTCAATATTTGTGGTGAGAAGCTATTTGCAGACAGCTCTGCCGTGATAACATTTAAAGAAAAAATTCAACAAAAAATAAACAACGATGGATACAGCCCAGATCAAATTTATAACTGTGATGAGACTGGCCTAAATTACAAACTTTTGCCAGCCAAAACCCTAGCATCACGTCAAGAAACATCAGCTCCTGGTTACAAACGTAGCAAAGAAAGGGTAACAATTTTAGCAATGCAATGCAGCAATGCTTCTGGTAGTCACAAATTGCCCCTCACGATGATTGGAAAATCTACCAAGCCTAGAGCTTTTAAAAATCTTTCACCAACAGCCATGCCCGTTTACTATAGAAACCAAAGAAGTGCATGGATGGATTCAAAACTCTTCAAAGCATGGTTCTATGAAGAATTTGTTCCTCAAGTGGAGCAACATTTGAAAAAAAAATGAAACTGTCAAGAAAAGCATTACTGCTACTGGACAATGCTCCATCGCATCCAAGTGAAGATGAGTTATGTAGCGAGGACATCAAAGTGCTTTTTTTCCGCCAAACGTTACATCATTGATCCAACCAATGGATCAAGGAGTATTGGAAAATCTAAAGCGCAACTACAGATTTTGCCTATTAAAATCGGTTTTGGAAGCGTTAGAAAATGGTGAGGACTTAACGACTCATTTAAAAAAGGTGAATCTTAAGGACGTGATGTTTTGGATAGCCCAATCGTGGCATGAAATGAAACCTGAAACTTTGATGAAGTCATGGCGCAAAACTGTCGATTTTTCGAAAGACGATCTCTCTGTTGAGGCACCTGTGCTCCCGTTGCTTGAGATGGCGAGGTCACTACCGAGTGAGGACCCCTTAACAGAAAATGATGTCGAAGAGTGGATCAGAGGAGATGACGTGGAATTGGATTACACTGATGAAGAGATTGCGTCAATCGTTCAAGAACGCCAACGCATTGAAGAATCAAGTTCTGATGAAGAAATCATTTTTCAGAGTTTCTCATTCGGAAGCTTTAGCTGCATTTGAAACTGCCTTAGCTTATGTGGAGCAGCAAAACGAAGCAACGCCAGCAGACATTTTTCTCATGAAAAAATGGAGAGACATTGCTGCAAAAAATCGCGCTCCTCGATTACGTCAAACGAAAATTTCGTCTTTTTTTACTCCTTAGTTTGCTTGTCATACTGTTAGGTATATACACACATATTACTTTAGTACTTACATACTTTATTACTGCGTACGTAAATAAAACATATGTAATTTGATTAAAAATCCGATTTTATTTTACAGTAGAAAATAAAGTCCGTATTATCCGAGTTTTTGATTATCCGAGGTAGGCTTGGTCCACAATAGCTCGGATAATCGGGGTTCTACTGTATTAACTATAAACCTTACTTTATACTAAAAAACTATAAACTTTTAAAAATTGACTTGTGCAATCGTAAAGTTACTTTGTACAACGGCTCACGCGAGCAATGTGAATGTATTCTGCAAGATATTGGTGAATGTTTCATTCGCTATACTATTAACACTATGTCTTGTCCCGACGAAGTTAATGCAGGTATGTTTATCATAAAGTGTTTTGAGGATAATCTAAAGGCTGCTAATAAATCTAACATTGACAAACAATTTACTGAAATTACCCAACCACAATTTATGTTAAACGGAAGAATTATTCAGACAATTTAAAAATGTTGCTGTTGCTATATTCAAATAATGTAAGACGGGCCTTTCGATGAAAAGTTACATGTTTATTAAGAACACGTTTTTTTTAAAAAAATCCATATACCGGATATTCTACATAATTGAGATAACGATTACGATGATGATGACAATTAATATGAAGATGGAAATAGAAATGAAGATAGAGATTAAAATGAAGATGGAGATGGAGATGAAGGTGGAAAAGAAGATAAGAATGACTTCATGATGACTTGATGACAACGATAATATTGGTAATAACAAAGTTACGATGTTGATGACTTTTATATACAGGGTGTTTAAAAACTAAAATACAAGATGTTTTTAAAAATGATATGTCTACTAACCGGCGATGAAAGTACCGAAGGCCCGAGAGAAAGGTCAAACTCCGCGTTAGCGGAGTTTGTCTGCCTTTCTAGTGCTTCATGTTTAAAATTCGTACAGGCGGTTCGCGGGGCGCTCGGCATTTCTTGTTCACTTTCGATATAAATCTCTTAAATAATCCTTCCTAGAAAAAACAAAAGTATACTATCCGATACGAACCTCAGTAGTACGCACGTATGTGGCACAGGGTAAGTTGTTTTATCTACAGTTTTATTTTTATTTTTATTATAAATACATATAATGAAATTAATGGCAGGTGCACAAGAATGAATACTAATAGAACATGAAGTAATATTAGGAATCATTTAATGAAAATTTCAACCGATAAATCAAAATGCAACTACTGCACAACTACATTTTCGATTAAAGGTGGTGCAACAGCCAACTTATGTCGACATTTGAGAAATAAACATCATACTGTGCAATATGAAAATTCTAGAAATAATATACAAAATGAAACCGTCTTGGTAATAATGAATTTCCAACAGACACAACGTTCACTATTAGCTCAAGTCCCTGTGCTTCAGGTAGTACTACTATTATCTCAAGTCCCAATACTTATTATCGAGTAGTTCAAATTTACCTAAGAGACCTAAATACAATGCAAAAAAATGATTGATGATAATAATTACTGATGAAATGATTAGATCCGAGTATCAGCCGCTGAGCATAGTCGAAAATAAAGAATTCCAGACTCATAAATGTGCTAAATATAAGCTTCCGTCAAGAAAAACCATTTCAAGTAGTTTGTTACCATTAGCATACAACAAACTATTGGAAAAAGTGAGAAGTCAACTTAATGACGTCACTGTAGTCTCAGTATCTACACTGCCTTAATAAAAAGGTGGTAAGTACAGAGATCTATTTATAAAACACCAAATTTTAACAATGCCATCTCTCTTAATATATGAGCTTTGTATATACATAATAATCAGGACAAATTTATAAAACATGATTATATCCACTCTATAAATACAAGACAAAAAAATAATTTTTACGTGCCTTTTTGTAGGTTAAATGTTGTCAGCAGATCACCCAATTACCTGGGTCTTAAAATATACAATAAGTTACCTTTTGAACTAAAAAGTTGCTCATCGACTGGACTATTTAAAAAGCGCTTAAAGCAACATTTAGTATACAAAGGATTTTATAATGTTAACGAATATTTTGATGTATAATATACATTTGTATGTATGTATATGTGTATTTGTTGTTTGTTAAAGTATTATTTTGTGTGTTTAGATTTACGAATTTTATGTAGTTTTTATACTTTTATTGACAATTCCAATGCAATTTGTGAATTGTCTAATGGATATAAAGGATTGAAAAAATTGAAAGAGCTTGCCATTGAAATTGGCACAACAGGTTAGTATTTATTTATTATTTAATCAATATTTTACGTTTTACGAAATTAATAAATGAATGTACATTTATTGTTACAGTGGACAATTGTACGGCACAATATAAAGCTCTGCGGGAGAAATACATAAAAGAAAAACTCAAACTAAGTCAAGAAACAGTATCGGGATCAAAAAGCGCAGATGACGATAGTAGTTGTTCAACTGCTTACAATTTTTCGACATGTTATTGTTTGTTGAGATTTATTGATTGATTTAAATGTTTTTTAAAATTTATTTATGACAAGAAATATGCACGAGTAATAATAATCTATATTACACTTATATAATATGTGTATGTATTTTCTAATTTTCAGGAAATTCAGTAATGGGGTTGCAGCTTCATCAGATTGTGCTACAGCAATAATAGAAGGCCAACATAATGATGATGTTAATCAATCCCAGCTCTTAATGCTAGGTAGATAAATTGCTTCTCAGTTTTTACCTTTGTTAACAATTTTTTTTACAGATATATTGAAGATGATCCCACTGTATTGACGCAACCTTTGGAGTTGATGTCTCCAACATGCTCTCACTCAGACACCCGTTCAGACGACTTTGAAGCTCCACGTCCAAAAAAGAAAAAAAATTCTGACGCTTTTGACAATCATTTGCAGGATATGGTGAAAACTATCAGCTGTGTTGTTAGGATAACCTCAAGTCATGCAAACTGGAACAAGTTGCTCCAAATTTGATTGGTTGGGAATGTACATTAGCCAAACACTTAAAGAAATGGATCTTCCAATAGCAAATAAAAGACAGTTGATATGAAAATTTTAGAACACTAATAATATAAATATATTTTTTTCTGAATACAAAAAATTAGACATTCAAGTTGATTTATTATCATTAACCATTAACTAATTCATTTTGCCAGGGTACAGAACCTATATTAAGTAGTAACATATGAAATTAACATATCCCTAGATTGCAAAGCAGTTTTCCTAGCATTTCTCGCCCGTAATCGTGCCTGTATTGGATGTAGTGCATTAATATCACCTAATTCCTGTCTCCATAATCCGTTGATTATTATCCCATTTATTTCTGTGTCGACAAATATATCACTGCAATACCTCTGATCCATCGTTACCTCTTGTTTGGTCATATAATTGTGCAAACAAGTAGTCGCTTTTACAATTTTGTCCAGTGTCTGGTTGTGCAAATATCGTCTTAGGGAAAATTTGCCAACGAGCAGCTAAAATTCCAAAGCTGTTTTCGATACACCTCCATCCATGCATGTGATACTCTGTAATTAAAAATTCTTTGATCGTCTGGTAATAATCTGCCACTAATAGGTTCCATGAGATTATTTTTTAGTGGAAACGCATCATCACCTCTAAGGAAATGGATAAGTACAGCCTGGAAGAGATTCATCTGGTGGTAATTGTAAGGTACCACTGTCCTACCACCACATACCATTTGGTCCATACCATTTGGTCATATGTTGACCAAATGCAGATTCTTTCAACACTCCGCCATCACTAGATGATCCATATGAACCAACATCCACTATATTAAACTTTCATCACCAACTCCAAATAAAACTATGCTAAAAGTCTTCTTATAGTTAAAATACAGTGATCCTCGGCTGTTTAATTACAACACGTTTGCCATCAATTGCTCCCACACAATTAGGCAAATTCCATTTAAAAGCAACATTTCTCGCATTTCTTTTTCGTTCATATTCTTGCATGGATGGCATAAACAAAGGTTGAAGAACATGCCAGACAACATCACATGGATTTACCCGTGCGATAACTTGTGGCTACTAATTGAAGGCAGTCTCTTGACGCTAATGGTCTAAAAATTAAAGAAATTTTAGTATATTACTCTTTATATAAACAGTTCATCTAGGAACATTTACCGAATAGTAATTAAAAGCCTACAATCTAATCTGCAGGGATAGATGGGCTGTTTGAATGTTTGGTTACATGGAGCCCCACTAATTTCAATAAGTCTTCAAACAT